TTTTTTTTAACCAGTTTGACTGATTCATTGAAAATACATGATTCAAATGAACAATTTACTCAAATGAAATCAGTAGGTCTTGCAAGCAAGTTTTACAAATGTTGTGCACAAGGGCAATATCTATACTAATTAATTAATAATAATAATAATTTATGCATTTAGCAGACGCTTTTATCCAAAGCGACTTACAGTGCATTCAGGCTATACATTTTTTACCAGTATGTAATGTAACTTTATACTACCCTGCAAAATTATGGGATTGGTCAAATGTTTCATAATTTTGTGATATAATTGTGAAATATTATTGCAATTAAAAATTATGATTTTATATTGTAATATATGTTCAAATGTAACTTATTGCTGTGATCAAAGCTGTGTTTTCAGCATCATTACTGCAGTCTTCAGTGTCACATGATCTTTCAGAAATCAGTCTAATATGATGATTTACTGCTCAGTAAACTTTTCTGAATATGATCAATGTTGAAAACAGTTTTTTGATGAATACAGAGTTCAAAATAACAGCATGTATTTGCAATAGAATTAAAAAAACAAAAACATTATGGATTTTTTTTTTTACTGTCACATTCACAATTTAATGCATCCTTGTTGACTAAAAGTAGTTTCTTTCAAGAAAGAAAGAAAGAAAGAAAAACATTTTTAAACAGTAACACGACATTTTAGGGATCAGCATAATGTGATAAATGTTCATTATATGAATCTCATGACATTTCCAGTCCTGGAGAATTATAAAAAACCCTAATATTTCCAGGTTTTCCATTAGCGTGGGAAATACTGCATTGTTTATTTATTGAAAGCTTATGTAAATGACTGTGATGGTCTGCTCTGCTCATATTTCAGATAATTCTGTATTAACTCCATCTCAAAAATGTACAAAACGTGAAATACAGAATAAAGTTGCATTTAGCCACTTCCCATTTTACTGTTTGCCTGCGTAGATTTCTCTGACTGACTGAATGCACTGCAAACTACCTGACTCTGTGAACTGGGAGTCGAGCTTCATTGTCTCCAGAAGATGCTCCAGAATCTTCTCCGGAGTTCCGGACATCACCGTGTACCTGAAGAACAGGTGTAGTTTACAGTTACCCCATAGTATTCCTAAATTCCCAATGTTAAAAATGACAGAAGAATAGAAACGTACTTGAGAGGAGAGGAACTGGAGCCCCTGTTGTTAGTTTTCTCCAAAACTAACACATCCTCCTCATGCTCCTTCAGACGGACCGTGTTTGCTTCCACATCCTGAAATCGAATTAATAGATTTAGAACAAGAAATAGATTTAATCATAACTCATCAAGCGATATTCATATGTGATGTACTAACATCTAATGTACTAAGATCTAAATGACTGGTTAGGTTCCCACAGGAAACAAATCACAACAGATGATATGTGACCCTGGAGCACAATATAGTAATATGCATTGCTAAGAACTTCATTTGGACAACTTTAAAGGTAATTTTCTCAATATTTGGATTTTTTTGCACCCTCAGATTCCAGATTTTCAAATAGTTGTATCTCGGCCAAATATTGTGTGATCCTAACAAACCACACATCAATGGAAAGATTATTTATTCAGCTTTCAGGGGATATATAAATCTCAATTTCGAAAAATTGACACTTAAGACTGGTTTTGTGGTTTAGGGTCACATATGTGATAGTGTTCAGGACACGAGGTTTCTGACGTCAGTAGTTTAGCAGCAATAAGCAATAAACTCACTATTACAGCACCGATGAGCTCAGATCATATAGCTGATTTATGAATGATCAAATGGAGGTGTTTGTCACTTAAAAGTTTTCCGCAATGTCACTTCTGTAATGTTTGTCGTAATTCAGCGTCATTACCAGTAGAGGGAGACAGGTTCCCAACCTATTTTGGCTGAATGCCTAAATTACTAATATTAATGTTCAATTTTACTTTTAAAAAGTACACTTGAGATTTGTTCAAACCTTTCGATTAATATAAGACATAATGCATTTAATGACTAACTGTTGCATAGAGAAGACAGAGGCAAGTTGTCATTGCAACAACATACAGTATGCAGCTGTATTTTATCAACTGGATCTTTTTTCTTGAATAATAATGTTCAGAAGTTGTGTTCAAGACTTTAAAGTTTATACAGAAACTGACTGTAAAAAAACAAAAACCAAATCTACTCTGACAAATAAGGAAAAAGTGTGACAACTACTTTCCCCAGAAACGATGCCATATTAAAGACTGCATTTAAAGACTGTGTCCTTCACCATTTCTATCAGTTGCAGTCTTCATAAAAACTAACTGATATCGTGACTACAGATTGTTTTGTCCAGTTCCATCATGCTGTAACTATGCAATAAATGACCCTATATGAAATCTCACTAAATCTGCCTAGATTTGTTTAGATAGTAGGCATCTGTTTCTGTGTCTGAGCTTCCGCTTACACAGCTTTCCTGAGCTCAGCTCTCTATTGTCAGAGCGTTGCGAGAGAGATCCTCCTGTCGCTGATGTACGGACCGGTATACATACAAACACAACACCAATGCAGCCAGAGAAAACTATCAGACGATGAGTAAATAGTCATTACGCCAACAGCACATTAGCAAATAGTACACTAGCAACAGTACACTAGTTTTTGAGCTTCTTCTTTGTCTAGATTCTGTGGACATTCACTTTGTGAGTTGCATTCTGGGACGCTTTTAAACAGTATTGGAGTTCACATGTCTGCCGCACACTTGTTTTCTGCTTTTCCTTGGCTATCAACTCACGCATTTCAATTTCTATCATTTTTATTATTTTTTAAATTAAAAGTTTAGGTTTGTAAAGAAATTCAAATGTAGGTATCAGGGTTATTATGGTTTACATTTACGGTTCTGTATGTACTGTACATACTTGTTGTACTAGTAGTAATTACAATAACTGGGTAATAACTAGGTACTAACCCGGAACCTAACCTGAACCCATGCAGTTACCTTATATTACCCAGTACTTTCTTAGGTAAGTAAGTACAGTACAGTACAATTTTGTAACTTGGAAAAAAATGAATAAAAAATAAATAAAATATGAAAAAAGATATCTTATTTCAGCTCGAATCACTTTAAAGCTAAATAAACTAATAAATAAAAATAATAACTATGTAGACAAAAAAACCCTAATTAAAATGGCAAAGCACAACAAAATTACTAAAACTATAAAATGTGAAAACAGAAAATATAAAAGTGTTCAAAAACCGATACTAAAATAACAATGGTAGTTGTTATTGCTATTATTATAACTAAAACTGGTAAAGAAAGCTGAAACAAAATATAAATATTAGATGAAAATCGTATAATTTGAGCAACGATTAGAAATGTTGATTTGGCCAACGACCTGAAAGCAAATAATTCGAAGTTGAAGTACTGAAATTTTGTAAACTAAAACTAAAATTGAAATAAAAGAAACTAAAGCACATAAAAACACACATAAACTAATAAAAATGATAAAAAAGCACATTTCAAAATTGTTAAAATTTAAATTCTAAATGAAGATAAAAACCGAAAATATAAAAGTAAAAGCTAAATATCAATAAATATATATACTATAATAGTATATAAATCTCTACTAACACTGGACAATTTAGTTTTGTCTACAAACTATTTTAATACATTATATTATAAATCATAAATAAGACTAGTTCATTTAGATCTAACAAAAGCACATTATTTTATTTTATATTTATTTTTTATTTAGTCCAAAGTACTATTTAACATCACTGAATCAGCTTTTGTTGTTTTTTAATTGTTATTTTATTATTCAAATATTACACCAACAAATCAAAATGTATAGGGTAGCAATTGCAGGTTAGCACTTTTTACAGTGTAGAGTATATGACAAAGCACTTTGTTTTGTTGTGAATAATGCGCGCTGACCCTGAGGACTCTGTTGAAGTCTTCTTTATCCACTCTCAGGAAGTGGCAGTTGTCCTCTCTCAGTACGATAGACGCTGCCCGAGGTGCGTCATTCACCAGAGCCAGCTTCCCGAAGTCATCTCCCTCATGTAACGTGCAAACTACACCCTGCAACCAGACGTGACCCACACAAACCAGCAAAGAAAAACATCTTCCAGCTGTAATTCAATTTGCACACAATCTTTCCTGGCACAGTCTGCATGCACTGTAATTGGCTTGAGAGCGATTAGCTGGTCTGCGTTATCACACATTAAACGCTTAATTAGTCTGTTGAATGTGAAGCATTAGTGGGGAATTACTAGTCTGACCTTTCCATAGATCACCACGTTAACGGAGCCCTTCAGGATGATGTACCATGACGTGCCCTCCTCCCCTTGATTAAACACTAGAACAAAAGAGATCGATAATGAACATCAAACGCAGAACACTGAGATCTAAACTCAGCACTCATTTAAAGCTGGTTAGTTCTGAATGGCTTGACTTCATTTTGTGAGTGAAGTTAGCAGGTTTGTGGTGTAATGTTTTGACACTTACACACTGTGCCTGCTTTGGCATGGGACTCAAATATCAGAACACCAGCTAGTTCCCTCTTCACCTGAGGAGAAAACACAATGCAATAGACTCTATACTAGTGATGAGACATGTCACCGTGTAATAATGAAAAAGGAAAATCGCCTTCATTTGAAAGCAAATGATATTTTTAACAATGCACACACATTAAAGCTCAGCTTGCAATTCATGCATTAATTCAATAGTTCACCCCAAAGTTTGAAATATGGTTAAAGTACTGCTGAATGTACTGACAAGCCTTTATGGTAAACAAAAATATATGTTCATGATATTTCTATTTATGTCATGTATTTAAATATATTTGTTATTACGCATTTGTAAAGATGAAGTTGCAGTTACTACATTTAAAAATACATTAACTTATAATGTAGTATTGAATAACACATTACAGTTCAATTATAATCATGTGCAATTACGATCAAGTCCTTTACCTGTGCTTTAGTATGTTAGTTAACACATCAAAATAAGTGTATTCTTTAAATCATGACAAGATTATACATTATGTACTTTAAACTATTAAAACATCATATGCTATTAAAACATAATGTACTTTAAAGTTAAAATTGGACATCATTACAAAGCGAACTTTTTAAGAAGCAAAGTAATAAAAGTGAGTAACACTTAATTTTAAGGTGTTCTTGTTACATATGTTACATGTACTTACTATTATAATTACTTTGCTGGATATAGCAAATGATGACAAAATAAACATTTGAAACAAGATAAATGGTCTACGCTTAATTTCATGAAGTGTGCGATTAATCGCGATTAATCACAGAAAAAGGGTGTGATTAATTAGATTAAAAATTTTAATCGATTGACAGCCCTAATTTTTTTATATATATTTTTTGTTTACTGAAATGTGTGTATACCAAACTAATTCCCTCTAACTTCATATAATGTGTACTTACAGTGGTGGAGAGAAGTGATAAGGCTTTAATATGCAGCAGCTCCTCATAAATGATCTCCAGGTCATCTGCTGTCCTCTGGCCAGGCCTGCCGAGAAAAGCAGGGAGGACACTGATGACTTTGAAACTTATTCTGACATTCTGGTGCACATATTACATCTCCCAGGACCTTTACGTCTCTCCTTCAGTTACAGCATGCATATAAAAGTCTAATCTGCCTTTAAAGACTTTCAGACTATTCCAGCCAAACAGGAGCAGATACAGATCAGATCACTCGGAGGCGCTTCTCTTAATTACCCAGAGTCCTCTGGGGGACGTAATGACTCATATTAACAGGCGCTGCTGCTTCTGAGGAACGAATTACACTGTAACAAGGACACCTTAAAATAAAGTGTAACCTAAAAGTGTACTTTCTTAAAGTGCACTTAAGTGGCCTTTTATTTGGTTAATATATTGTCTGGAAGTACAGTTTTTTTTTAATATATATTCTCAGGATTTGAAGTACACTACAAGTGCACATGCAATACAATTAAACACACTTCTTTTTCACAAGCGTATGGGTGGTAAGTAAGGACTAGTTTTATGGATTTTGTCTTTTATGAAGATGAACAGCATCGCCTTCCATTCACTTTCATTTCATGAAAAACAAAAGCTTGAACATTCTGCAAAAGTTCTGCCTTTATATTACACAGGATTTTTTTTAGGGCTGTCAACGTTAAGGCGTTAACGCATGCGATTAATTTTACAATCCTTAACGCGTTAAAATTATTTAACGCAATTAACGTAAAATTACTGAAGCACAATTTCGAACCAGTCTCGCTAGTAAAGTTTTGATAGATGAAGACTGCAATCAAGGTAAAGACAACTGCGATGGCGTACAGGAGTCGTACAGTAAGCGCGCGTGAGTCCGTTATAATAATGCGTGTATGAGTGACGCACTGATCACACATTGTATTTATGCACAGGCACAGACATTTCCCTACATTCACGTAGTTTCCACACACATTCACGATAATGTTTTGATTTGTCATGTTTATGTTGCTGTGTTTAGTTATACTGAATGTTAATTACCCAGAGTCCTCTGGGGGACGTAATGACTCATATTAACAGGCGCTGCTGCGTCGTGGGAACGTCCTGTTTACTCAGGATCATTCGCAGATGGGCGTCAGGTCCGATCTGAGAGAGGAGCAGGAGGGTGTCCTGTAGTTCTTCATCGCTCTCTTTCTTCTCTTCCTCAGTGGGGAGGGGTGCGTCCTCGGTCTCATCCTCCAGGAAGCGATAAAACAGATACTTATCTTGGAAACTCAGCTCCTGGTCCACTGCAGCCAAACACAGAACCAACCATATAGCACAGAAACACATGTAACCACATCACATCTGTAGTGTAAACAAAACTCATGAAAAATATACATAAGATACAAAAGTTCTCTCTGGGGCGGTACCTTTTTAAAAGGTACTAATATGTACCTTTATGGTGCTTATACTGTATGTACCCTTTAGTGGCAAATAAGGTACAAAGTTGTATCTTTTGAAAGGAAAGGGTACCTGCCAGTGACAGCTTTTGTATATTTTCTAAAAGTGTAAGGAATAATGATCATCTGCATTATAGATTTTAATTAAGAGCTGCCTCAAACTGTGCTCATATGTTGTGCTGTCCAATCACATTTATTTATATAGTGCTTTATACAATACCAGATTTACATCGATAAACAGTGTTAATGTTCATGTTAATGTTCGCTGTAATTCATCAGCTATAAAAATACTTACATTTCAGCAGTCATTATTCAGCTCAGTTCAGTTCAATATTGTTTTAAGTTCAATAACTGTTGCAAATTGCTGTGATTTATACCTTAATCAATGACTGACCAGCATGTACACTAGTTTGGGGTTGGTAAGATTTTTTAATGTTTTTGAAGTCTCTTATGCTCAACCAAAGCTGCATTTATTTCATAAAATATGTGAAAACAGTAATATTGTGAAATATTATTCCCATTTCTATTTGAATATATTTTACAATTTATTCCTGTGATGTCAAAGCTGACTTGGTAGCATCATTACTCCAGTCTTCAGTGTCACATGAGTTAGCAGTTATTTATTTTTATTGCCATGCCAACATCTAAGGCATCTTAATGGCAAAAACTACAATAATACAAGAGTTACATAAACACAAAATAAAAACCAAGCAAACACAAAAATATGGCAATAAGTTTTAATTAACATATGCTAAAAATTCTAAAATCTTTTCTGGTAAAATCTTACTAAACAAGTCCCTGAGTGAGCGTTCAGTGTCACATGATCCTTCAGAAATCAGTCTAATATGCTGATTTGCTGCTCAAGAAACATTTCTTATGATGATTAATGCTGAAAACAGTTGTGCTGCATAATATTTTTGTGGAAACTGTGATTCTTTGAAAAAAGAAAATTCAAAAGACATTTAACATTTATTCTAAAAAGATTTTTTTTTTCGTAACATTAGAAATGTCTTATCTGTAACTTTTGATCAGTTTAAAGTGCTCTTGTTGATTAAAAGCATTAATTTCTTTCACTTCTGAGTGATAGTGTACGAGATGACACACTCACCGTGGTTTAGGACGCCCTCCTCCAGCAGCACCTGCCACATCCCTACAGCCTGAACACGAGCGTGAACACAGGAAGTGTGCTGCATCAGCCAATCAACGAGCTCCATGCCCATACAGCACTGCCTACAACACACACACACACACACACACATACACACCACACATACACACCACACATATACACAGACACACAGACACACACACACACACACACACACACAGAGAGAGAGAGAGAGAATACAGATAATCCACTGAGCCACTCCACACAGAGAGCTGCATTTAATGACTTATAGACAGTGTTGGGGAGTACCTATAGTTACATGTAATGGAATTACGTAATTTAATTACAAAATAAAAGTAACTGTAATCTGTTACAGTTACTGAGAAAAAGTGTAATTAAATTACAGTTCCCTTTCAGTCGGTCACTCTCGACGTCACGTCGGATGACCGACG